GTTGCGCTTCTCAGGGTCTGAATCAACAGCCTTGGTGGCTGCTTCTTGCTTGCATAAAGGGGTGACCTCCTGCTTGAATGTGGCTGGTGTTTCTGGGCAGTGCTTGACCCTCTGCTATCCATAGCTGTCTCTTCATTGTTGGGACTTCTCCTCCCAGCTCATGCCCGAGTCCTTACGGCTACTGAAGGAGTTTATTGTAGGATAACTAAAGCCCTTTTGGCTATCAGACTGGGTAATTTTTGGCAAGAAGTCAACCGGGGTGGACCCTGTAGTGGCTCTCTGCTCCAAGCAGAAGAAGTAACAGAACCACCATAGCAGTGCCAAGCAAGTCTGGGTCGACTGACCTGGCATCTGCTTGCTTGTCACTCCTTCTGCTCTCTAGAGTAATCTATAGACTTCCTGAGCACCAACAGACACTTTCCCCCTCGCATTTCGCATCTGCCGATGGCATGGATAAGACTTGTTCTGTTAGGCAGATGTCAACGGGGTGGTGGTTGGCAGTGCCACACTGGTGGTGGTTGAACGCATGGCTCGTGGGCCGGTGAGGCTTCAAAGATGCTCGTGCTCACCCTCTTGATGTGCCTCACATTCCACTACAGCTATTGGGGGGGGGGGGCAGCACTACCCATCTGCGGAGCATCCTCCCCTCCCCACGAAGCTCTCCAAAGCTCAGCCTTCGGGAAGGTCCTTGGCCGTGGGGCTGGTGGGCTGGGTGGGTGACTGGCCCGACCTTGCAGGTGGGGGGGCTTCATGCTTGGCAGCAGCCTGCCCAGTGTCTGCAGGTTGGGGCCTCGCTACCGGTCTGAATGGCGCTCCTGCTCTTGTCTTCAAGGGGCACAAAAATGGTCCTGATTGTACACCATTAGAGTAACAATCCTGGGGGCTGGCTGCTTCCCCGTCAAGTCTGTTCCTCGTCAAGGACTGTTCTTGTTTGGGAAGCGGAGAAATGGGGGGTCCCTGTGTGGGCAGGATTGTCCTTGTGCACAAGATGCCCCCGGCAAAGCCAGTGCTGGGCCAGCCCGCTGTTCTGGTTTGTTTGGTAGCCCTAAATGTCTGTCTTTGCTCTCGCTCCCCTCCAGTGTTGAAACGAAGACGCTCCCAAGAGACAGCTTCTGGGGCTGGCTCCTGACACAGATCTCACGGGATGAGCACAGGGCTGGCTGGATCCCTTCTCCACCAGAGGTGTTTCTAAGGTGCCTTCGTCGTGCCCAGAGGTATGTTGATCTCTGATGTACCTGAGCCTGTCACTGTTCCAAACAGAGCCCCTCCCCCCCCTCTTTGAGAGGACCAGCAATGCCTCTGAGTCGGAGGAATCCAGCCCGGTGGGGTGGGGGTGGGAGGGACTAAGAAGTTGCTCTGCTCTGGCTGTGGAAGTTGGGGCCTGTTTGCGGCCCTCTGTGGGGCAGGCACCAAACCTTCTTGGCACGGCCTTTGGCTGCACCTGGGAGTCTAAAGCAAGCTTCCCCTTTGCCCTCAGACTCGAGGGAGAAGCTGCAGGAGGGCGCGAGGGCATTTATTATTCATTTATTAAATTCAACTTGTTAGGCCGCCCTTCCCTGCAAGCAGGGCCCCCCGGGTGAAGGGGGTGCGGAGGAGGGCCGAGGAGGCGGGCACGAGAGCGCCACAACTGGCCTGGAGGAACATCCCTGCCTGGCAGGCCCTGCCGAAAGGTAATAGTTCCTGTCGGGCACGGATATTCTGTGGCAGAAAGCTCCACCAGGCAGGGGCCATGGCTGAGGAGGCCCTGGCCCTAGTCGAGGACCCCTGGACCCCTCTTGGACTGGAGACCACAAGCAGGTCCTTATGGCTGGAGCGTAGCACTCTTTCAGGGATGTATGGGCGCATGTGGTCACTCCAGGGGAAGGGGTTGGACATCCTGAGGTCACTTCCCTTGTGCATCTGTCCTGTCAAATGCAGACAGTATTGCTGAGTCCTTGCTCTGTTTGTTTGATTCAGAATGGGCAGTGGCACCCCCTACTCTGCCTAAGGCTGAAAAAAGGTGGCCCACACTTGGTTTAGAATCCCTGGGGTGGGAGTCTCTGTCCACGTTCACCCAGGACTGTGCTTCCTTCTCCAGGTGTTGTCAGAGATTTGACTTGAAAGCTCATGTCCCGAACTCATGCGTTATTCCACCGATCATCATCCCTCGCGCCGGAAGGCCTAGGATCGTTGGTGGTAACAGTGGTGGCGGCTCCTATTGAAAGGCCTGGTGGAAGAGCTCCGTCTTGCAGGCCCTGCGGAACTGTAAAAGGTCCCGCAGGGCCCTGATCTCCTCCGGGAGCTCGTTCCACCAGTAAGGAGCCGCCACAGAAAAGGCTCTGGTCCTGGTACTGGTGAGCCTTGCATCCTTGGGGCCCGGAATAGTCAGCTGGTGTTGGGCCCCAGACCGTAGTGCTCTCTGGGGTAGATTGTCTGCATTTAGGCCGACATCTCAGTGCTGTTGAGTGCGCAGCTTCAGGGCGGGGGCTCACTGGTTGCCTGCTGGATCTGCATAGCGGAATCCCTGCTGCTGCTGCTGCTGCTGCGTTTCAGGTGCTCCTCCTTGCCTCTCGTTCCCTTCGGCCTGGGTGGCTACTGGAGATCTGAAACCTCTGGAAGTTTTGAAGCCATGGGAAAATCCTGGGGTTGGGGGGGGTTATAGAAATTTCAGGAGAAATTGAAATATATGCAACACAGGTATCAAACCTAAACTTAATCTACTGACTTAACATAAAATGCATCACTTGGCATATTTATGGAATTTGAAAGTACAAATGACTTCATTTTCTAGAAGAAGAATTGCAAGTATACCCAATGTGTGTGCTGGAGCAGGCTTTTTTATTGCAGTCACCGACAGTGTGTGACTGCAATAAAGAAGGCCAAGGCTATGCTGGGGATTATTAGGAAGGGTATTGAAAACAGATCAGCCAATATCATAATGCCCCTGTATAAATCAATGATGTGATCTCATTTGGAATACTGTGTACAGTTCTGGTCACCACACCTTAAAAAGGTCACCACACCTTAAAAAGGATATTATAGCTTTGGAAAAAGTGCAGAAAAGGGGCAAGTAGAATGATGAAAGGGTTGGAGCACTTTCCCTATGAAGAAAGGTTAAAGCGCTTGGGGCTTTTTATCTTGGAGAAATGATGGCTGAGGGGTGACATAATCGAGGTTTATAAGATTATGCTTGGGATAGAGCAGGTAGAGAAAGAGGTACTTTTCTCCCTTTCTCACAATACAAGAACTCGTGGGCACTCCATGAAATTGCTGAGCGGTCAGGTTAGAACGGATAAAAGGAAGTACTTCTTCACCCAAAAGGTGATTCACACATGGAATTCACTGCCACAGGAGGTGGCGGCGGCTACAAGCATGGACGGCTTCAAAAGGGAATTCGATAGGCATATGGAGCAGAGGTCCATCAGTGGCTATTAGCCACAAGGTATAGATAGGGGCTCTGGGGCAAGTGATGCTCTGTCTTCTTGGTGCTTTGGGGGGGGGGGCACAACAGTGGGAGGGTTTCTAATGTCCTGGCCCCATTGGTGGACCTCCTGATGGCACCTGGTATTTCTGGCCACTGTGTGACAGAGTGTTGGACTGGATGTGCCATTGGCCTGATCCAACACTGGGTTCTCTTATGTTCTTAATACTTGAGAAAGAGTTTCAGACTACTGCACCCTGCGCTACCAAAGCGTGGTGGGTCTTTAATTTTTGCCCACCAAGAGGCAGGCAAAGGTATATAAGTTGAAAGCAGAAAATAAGTTCCGTAGTAAACAAAGGCAGGTGTATCATTTGGACAAAAGTGCTTGTTCTGACACAACAGGCAACCGGCACGTTTGAATATTAACTTAGACTTTATAATGCAGGAAGCACTGAATGCTTAAAAGGTTCTATATTTGGAATGAATGAAACGCTTTTTAAAACATTATTTTTTCTCACTCAGAAAGAGAAAATATTTTGTGGGAGGGCTTCCCCCTGTTGGATCCCCAAGCATCGAGAATAAATCCACGTTTTCAAGAAAAGCAAAATTTATTTCAAAGCGTTGAAGACATACTCAAACACGTTCTTTGTTAGAACTGGGGATACACAGTTAGGTCAAGCATAATAAAGGAAATTCAAACAGATACAGATCCAATGAATAGCATTCCCGCTGGCGGGCTAATGAAACGGTTGCGCGCCCAGTCCATGGGAACCAGGCAGAACATCAGACAAAACACAGGTGCAGGTCTCATGAGAAAAGCAATAGGCAAGCATTACAGCATCTTCTCCCCCACACAACCTCCAGCAGTTATCTTGTGCATTCCAACGCAGGAGCAGGATGATAGAAAATAAGCCGGGTGCAACAGGGAAAGAATATGTACACAGAGGTCACAGAAAACAGAATGGCAGCATGCTGACATACTGCCCCCCTTAAAATACACTTAAAACACACCTCCCGGGTCGGGCGGGAACCTTTTGTGGAAACTGCGGATCAGGTAAGGGGCCCGAATATCCCCTTCTTCCACCCATTCGCGGTGCTGGGGACCGAAATCAACCCATTCGATAAGGTACCAGAGTTTACCACGTTTCAATTTACAATCAAGGATATCAGCGACCTCAAAATGTTCACCCCCTTCCAAAATGACAGGTGGAGGAGGAGTAACAGCTGGTCTC